ACAGGTAAAGGTGAAGCTTTGGGTGTGGCGCTCTGTGCTTGGGAGGTGTCTTGTGACTCCTAAAGGAGGGCGGTTCAGGTTTGGAAGAGATTGGGAAGTTCTGGTAGGAGCGGTTGCATCTTCTCTCTTCCTCCCCAATAGCTGGACGAAGTAAAACCCTAGTTTTCAAGCATCTGGGTTCTGGTTTGACTTAAAGTAAGTTTATATAGACAAAATTTCTGGTTCTTCGTTTGATTAATGGAGCCATACGGAAGTGAGTTCAAGCAAGTGCCGGTTTCAGGCCTTTGCTCAGTAGATTCCGTTTTGATTGGTGTAACCACAACCAAGCTAGATGGGACAAATTATCTTGCTTGGGCACAGTCTATAAGAATTTATGTCTGTAGTAAAGGAAAACTCGGGTACCTCACAGGTAGTAAAGTGAAACCCGAAGAGACAGACCCTAAATTTGAGAAATGGATGCAAGAGAACTATATTGTCATAGGATGGTTGGCCAATTCTATGCAACCTCATATAAGTCAGCATTATCTCTGGATGTCTTCGGCTAAGGAGATAAGGGACAGTGTTACTGAGACCTATTCACAGAAGTTGAATGTAGCCAGAGTCTATAAGTTGAAAAGTGATGTGAAGAACGTAAGACAGGGGGAAGGAAGAGTGTAGCAATCTACTACTCTATACTGCAATCCCTATGGCAAGAAATTGATGTTATGGAGACAGTTGTATGGGAGAGTAAGAATGATGCTGAAATGTATAGAAAGTTGATGGAGAGAAATAGGGTGTTTGAATTTCTCATTGGACTCAGCCCTGAGTTTGACATCATTAGGCAAAATATCCTGGCCAGAGATGAGGTTACTCTTTCCCAGGCATATGCTATGATAAGCAGTGAGGAGAGTAGACGGCAGGTTCAGTTGTAGGGTCCACCTACAGAAAACTTTGCACATGCTGGAATAAAGCCAAAGGGTCCTACTGAGAAAAAGGAGCAGATATGTGAATATTGCAAGAAACCGAGGCATACAAAGGACACTTATTGGAAGCTTCATCCTGAGCTTCTTCCTGATAGGTTTAAGAATAACAACAACTCTAAGAAGGGCAGTCAGGTAGGAAAGCCTAAGGTAGCTAATGTTGCTATAATACCTGAAGGAGGAAATAAGGAGTGAAGAGAAATCAACCATTGAGCAATTGGCAGCAATGAAGGTGGATTTTGAAAAGTATGGGAGGCTACTAAATCACTTGGAAGCTACTATTTCTTCATCTCACTCTTCCAACAACAACACATCATCTTCATC